TGCTCCGGCTTTCATTAGGTGGTTGGACACATGACACAGTGGATAAACGCGTTAGTTAGATCCAGTGACAGGACTCAAAGAGTGTGAGTCCAATACCTAGTTAAGGCGGTGGAGAACGTGGATAGGGAAATTAACAGGAGATAATTGATAACTGATATCCATTAAATATGGCACGTGGAACTAGAACAGTCTACCCCAGTGAACAGAATAAAGTGTTCAGTTTGACATTCCAACCACCTGATGGAAGGCCGGAGCGTACAAGGGCCTAAACATCGAAATAAATATGGCGAAAAATATGAGGACAATAGTCCGAATAATGTAAATAGTGTACATAATACCTCATCTCAGAAATATAGACAGATACTGAAAGGTCGAAACGTTGTAATAAATATGGCACCAAAGATGAGGACAATAGTCCGAATAATGTAAATAGTGTACATAATACCTCATGTCAGAAATATAGACAGATACTGAACGGCCGAAACGTTGTAATAAATATGGCAACAAAGATGAGGGCAATAGTCCGAATAATGTAAATAGTGTACATAATACCTCATCTCAGAAATATAGCCAGATACTGAACGGCCAAAACGTTGTAATAAATATGGCGAAAATATGAGGACAATAGTCCGAATAATGTAAGTAGTGTACACAATACCTCATCTCAGAAATATAGACAGATACTGAAAGGCTGAAACGTTGTAATAAATATGGCAACAAAGATGAGGGCAATAGTCCGAATAATGTAAATAGTGTACATAATACCTCATCTCAGAAATATAGCCAGATACTGAACGGCCAAAACGTTGTAATAAATATGGCGAAAAATATGAGGACAATAGTCCGAATAATGTAAGTAGTGTACACAATACCTCATCTCAGAAATATAGACAGATACTGAAAGGCTGAAACGTTGTAATAAATATGGCAACAAAGATGAGGACAATAGTCCGAATAATGTAAATAGTGTACATAGTACCTCATCTCAGAAATTTAGACAGATAAAATTTGTACATCTTCTCAAGACCTAGCTTTTTGTTCACTCATAGGTTGACATTTTTATTATCGGCATTTTGGTGGGTCCCATACCAATATATTGCGATTCTCCAGGCGTAGATTATATGTGGCACAAGGCCGAAATTATTACAGTCGTAATTATTCTAGAGAGACAAGCTTGCTAACCATTACATCACCTTGCCCCTGGCAATTTTCTAAACCTCGCTTAGATGTGGTACCAGGCCGAAAGTATGGGGGTCACCCAATGAGGATCGAACTCAGTATTTAGTCGTATCTGAAGTATCGAGACAATCTCACTAACCATTACACGACGTCGAAGTGCCCACCTTTCTAAGGTATATAAGAATAACAAATAAGTCAATATCTACTCCATGGAGGGCAACCATTTTTATTTTCCTGGGTACATCTAAAACTGTAGACTCTACCAAAATGTCTGCATCTTTCAGGTTCTTATGAAATTCGTGGCCGGCTATGGACAAAAAGTTAATTTTTGCTTGTTCGAAATATTTGAAATAAAAGATTTCTTGGTCTTACCAACTTTTGTGTCTTCCTTTACTATCATGGCTTACGATTAGATCACACTGAAAGCCTCGTTTCCTGTTCGATCCCCGAAGTTAAGCAATAACAATTAGAATTGGACCCGTTTGGTAACACCGGGGACTGTAATTAAGCCCCTATACTCTGAAAAATGTTTCGGATTTAAATAAGCCAAAAATGTTGATAAGACGTTAAAAAATCGCTCAGTCAAATTTACCACCAAATCGAATGAGTTAGAAGAATAAATTGATCATTGATGTTCCTGGTCTCTTACTGAAAGGTCATTATTGTATTCATCAAAAGTTATGATGGCTGTGGGACCATAGTTCAAATATTGTTGCACCATCTCATAATGTGTTGCCAAAGGATTTCAGATTACATTTCGAAGGAGATAGCCACCATCAACTGTAGTGGAAACCAGAGACAGCCATTTGCCATTACAAAAGGTTCAAAGATAAAATGATTTGCCAACGCAAAGAGCTCGTATATGCTCTGCACGTGAAATATCCAGAAAAGAAAAATGGCTGCCCCTGATTTATAATATTGAAAGAAAAACAAAACAAAAAAAAACCGGAAAACATATAATTACTTTCAGAGTATCCGACGAGTATCCACATAAAAAAAAAAAAAATTCTCCGTAAACAACTTAAATAGAGCTCACACCATTGCGATTGGCTGTTGGTCAACTACCAATCAAATGCGTGATAGTGGGTTATGGTTTGCCTAATATAAGTCAGTGTTTGCAGGCTGTTAATTTAGATGGGGTGGGGGGCATCAGAAACTGATCAGCTCGGGTGGGTTCGACTTGGTGAGAGGAGTATGATGTTTGAATGACCCGTAACTGTCCAATGACCCAAATCCGAACATTACTGACGACGCCCTCTAGGGCCGAAGAGCGTAGATTTAAAGTAAAGACAATAATTGTCATTTGAGACTTTTCCAGATATAAAATGTACACTCTAAAAAAAATTACTGTGGACACCTTTTCTTTCTTAAAAAAATTACTGTGGACATTGAGTTGGGTTCTAAGCTGTTGTTGCTGGTTTGACATTTGAGGTTAGTCTTGTTGTTGGTGTGACATTGAGGTTAGTTGACTGGTGTGACATTGAGGTTGGTTTGAGCTGTTGTTGCTGGTGTGACATTGAGGTTGGTTCTAAGCTGTTGTTGACATTGAGGTTAGTTCTAAGCTGTTGTTGCTGGTGACATTGAGGTTATTGCTGTTGTTGCTGGTTTGAGGTTGGTTCTAAGCTGTTGTTGCTGGTGTGACATTGACAGTTGTTGTTGCTGGTGTGACATTGAGGTTAGTTCTAAGCTGTTGTTGCTGGTGTGACATTGAGGTTAGTTCTAAGCTGTTGTTGCTGGTGTGACATTGAGGTTAGTTCTAAGCTGTTGTTGCTGGTGTGACATTGAGGTTAGTTCTAAGCTGCTGTCGCTAACGAGAATTGTTCATAATTGCTTGTAAAATTGTTTTCTTTGGTGTTCCCAACGAAATTGTTTGCCACTGACGGTAGAAACCTTTTCAAAACATTTAGCTTCAAAAAACTTGAATACTTGTTTCAATGTCCGTAGAAGTTGAAGAGACTTCTTGGTTTGAGGAATCGGCTGCAAACACACCACCAGATACAGCAAAACTATCCTGTGCTGTACCATTCTCTTCATCTGTTTCTTGTTTGTTTGTTTTTCTGCTCATATCGGAATCATCATCAGATCGCGCTTCTTTATTTTTCCGATATTTGACATCTTGTGTTTATTTTTCAAGAGATTACTTATTTGCGAATCGCATCAAATTATCTTTTGAACAGCGCTTCAGGGACTGGTGTTATCTTGTATCTGAAAGAAAAAAAAATCTGCCATATCATCTCGTCGGTTAAAATAAACACGTAAACTTTTAAAACATAGTCATCAGGATAACTACGACGATTTTTTAATCATAGTCATCGTCGGCATCCGTCCGTCTCGAGAGACGATGGAGTAGCGCGGGGCGCTACGAGCCTGGGCGGGATATATGGAGAACTAGGGCTGCCCGGACGTCTAGTTACCCCTCTCGGCCTTGCTAGTCCAAAGGAGAGGATAAACCAATACAGTTTGGTACCAGCGCGGCTGTAGGAGTTGCCGGAAGGTAATACAAAGTGCCGTCCATCCGCCTTCGGGGCTCCACTTCATATTTGAATTCAGAGTTGTAATTCTCCTAGACCAGTTGCCATCCAAGGCTATAGAACCCAGTACGTCCTGCTATTTACCCATAGCTGGAGAGGAGAAGAAGAGGATTCACATCTTTCCCAAGGGTATTAGCACGTAAGTTAATGTAATGGATTCGACTGGAATTCGAACTCAGCTCTCCGATTCCTCAATCCAAGCCGCTATCCATTACCCCACCGTGCCTCTTTTTAATCATAGTATGCATCCTATTAAATGTACCATGCAACATTTTATCTTCTAGATGGCTCTTCGAATTTTTGCAGCGTTAAGAATCCTGCTTGTTTTGAAAACAATGAATCTCGTATGACAGCCGCTGGGATTTTGTTTACTAAATTTTCACTCAAGACAAGATCCACACAAGGTAGAGGACAAGTAAATGATGTTGCTATATAAACATAATAGTGAAAGGTAAGAAATTTATGATTTATTGATTGATTTTTTATACGGCTTATCAACCCTTAGCAAGTAATTTAAAGCCAGAACATATTTTTTGGATTGTAAGATTTTTTTTTTTTAGATAAAATGATTTAGTGATTCAACTCTTACTAATTAACCCATAGTTGGGAAAAGAATTTAATATAATGAACCCAACTGGAACTAGAACTCGTTTCTCAGGCATCCTGGGTAAGACGATAAACTACTTCCGCATCCTGGGTAAGACGAAAAACTACATCCCCGTCCTGGGTAAGACGATAAACTACATCCGCGTCCTGGGTAAGACGATAAACAACATACGCATCCTGGATAATATGATAATTTACATCCAACAGCAATGCCAGTGATCAGGAGGTTTTGAGGAGTGTGGAACGACCTCTTAATTGCTGATGTTCCCATGTCGACCTTGACCCGGGGTGGTAGCATCTGTTAAGTTCCTAGCTATGGGAAAATAATTAGCCCTCAAACCGGGATGAAAACGTGTAAAACTAGCTTATAATACCAGCAATACACTTTTTAAAATATTATTACCAGCAATAATTTTTTGAAGAAATAATTATTACCATCAATACATTATTACCACGAACAGATTTTTGGAAAAAATGTTACCAGAAATACATTTTTGAAAAAATAAATATTACCCAGCAATACATTTTTTGGAAAAATATTACCAAGAATACTTTTTGGAAAAAAATTCTTATCAGCAATAAAAAATCTTGACAGCATTAAATAACCTATTGAGATTGATATGCAAACCAAACCATATCGGCTCTCAGATTAAACGTTCGGAGCCATTATCCGACATACCCAAGCTTACAGCACCTGATATTCCCGAGTGGTCATCCATCTAGGTACTGACTAGGCTCGACGTTGCTTAACTTCAGTAATCATCCGGGAACTAGTGTTTCAACGCGATATGGTCGTAAGCCCCGGTTAGATGTGCAGATTATAAACATATGTAGAGAAGATAACAGTCAACTCTAGATTTGAAGAGTAAGATCATAGTGATAGATAAAGCATCCTCTCGGGAGTATTTTTCATGGAGTAGCTTTTCTTTTGAAGAAGCTGTTCGGATGGAACTTCTTTCTTACTAATGGAATACAAAGGGAATGGAGATGTTTCGTCACAATGTTTGCAATCGCGAATCCTGGCTGAGAAACTGGTGGAACGAAGGAATATAGTTCGTCTGAACCTTCTCCATAGAAATAGCGAGAGACCAGCAACTAACCCTCGTTTCATAGTAAACCCTTTTTTTTCAGTCAAATCTTAACTACAGAGTAACCTTCTTCTCTGGTGTCGAATGAGCAGCAGTTTGGGTAGAGGGAGAGCGTTTTGTAATTTATAGATCTATATATTACCGTCAGTATTTATTTTAGGCTAGAAATTTACTGAGTGTTTGCTTCTCGCTCTGTTTGACCATATATGTCTACAAACAATTCACTTACCTGCCTGTTAACTCTGTGGTACAATGGTTGTACCATACAAGCTGCTGAAGGTAAGCGAAAGTAAGTGAGACCTAAATGATGTTATTAGAGTAAATGTTGGGTTTCTTATGGCCGGAAAATAAAGATGTCTGGTGTCCAATGCAGCTACCCACTTAAAGGACGGGAAAGAAAATATTAAAATGAAAACATGAGGTCAAGTGACACTTTACCGGAAGCAAGGTGGTTCCGTCTGCAGTGTTATATAAGTAAAGCCCTTGTTAGGGCGGGACATAGATAGCAGCGGAAGTAAAGAGAATAAGCGAAGGGAGTTATGCGCCACCTACCGACTACCAAAGACACTACAAGATCTGATTTGCAACTGTAGTTATATAAACGCTAAATTATTGCGAACTGGATTCCTGTTTTCATTTCTTGTCGTGACCTTAATTTCATCTTCTGTCACGTGTGAGCGTGTAGCGAGCCTGTCTTTATGCTTAACGAGGCGAACGAGAAGCGAAACACAGCATGAGGATTGTTTAGTTCGTTTGTTAAATGACTGCAAGACGGTGCAGGTAGTTTGTGCATTAACACAACATATACAGAGTGGCAATAAAGTCACTATACAGTTACTTATAATAACAATTAAGACAAAGAAATTAATCAAGAGTCCAGAAATTAATTATTAAAATAGTTAATAAATTCTGGTTAATAACAGTAAAATCCTATGGTAAACAATAGTAAATTAATTACCGATACAGTTCGAACAGCAAGCCACCTGCTTCAATTCTTTGCTTTTTGTTATAAGCAACTGGATAGGGACAACCTTATAGTATAAGGCTCGTATCAAGAAAAGAAAACTATTTTCCTGTAGCTTTTTCATGCCAAACCCCTATTATACATGACTTTTTTGTTCTTTATAAGGGAGCTATGTCGAAAAGACCTTAGTTATAGATTCTGAGAGAACACGTATTATCAGGTTTAAACAAGGCCAGGACGCCCGAACCATCGAGACTTCTGAACAGTTGTGCGTGCCCAATTTCTTTCACAAGGATTTGGTCAACCCGTGATATCGTTTTCAGGAACTTACCAAAAGGTGCCGTGCGCTGGATTCGCCTCTGCGTGCCAAGGATTCAGCTTCCTGACAAATCCAACATGGGGATATTTGAAACCAGATCTCATGGCTGGAAAGCGGACGTTTATACTGTTGCATACACTTCATTGGGGGGGGAAGGTTGTTGTTTGGTCTCATTTTCTCTGGCCGGTGATCGCTGGTCGTTTTGGCATCAACAAAGAGAACTTTTAACTATTATTTTAGTAACCACTTCGACGGGTACATCTTCTATCACGTGGAATTACTAACCCCCCTATTTGGGAGGCGCTTCTAAACATGAAAATCTCACACGTCCATTTCCTTTGACGCATAACAACGAGTTCTCGAAAGATCCTTCCCTACTAGAGGGAGAGGATTTACATAAACGTAATCTAACACATCTAGTCAGCTCGACGTCCAAACATCAACTGCTTAAAACCTTAATCTGTAACCCATTCCCGAGTTCGGCTCAGCCAATCAAAATCGACATCCCTATTTTGTCTACTATCTGACCGTAAAGGTCAGCCTCAGCAGGTCTAAGACAAAATACACTGCCACTAAAAAATAATAGTCTGAAACGATTAATTAACAAAACCCTCGGTCACGAGCATATTCATTAACAACAACTGGCAAAAATATCTCTACAATAAAGTGGCGAAATTCCTATGGAGCTACAAAAAAAACAAAAAAAAACGCTTAATAGAGCATGTTGAAATTCGAACCCGAGACTTATTGGTTAGAAAGTGAACTTACATACTAACCACAAGGTCGGCAACTTACCCTGTGCTATAGTGTGTGTATTAATAATAGTGACTAAGGAATAGTTTTAAGAATCATAAAAAATGGCTGTTTGATCTGTAAATTATGTAACTTTAAAGACCATAGAAATTGAGACTTCATTTTTGTAATTTTTTTTTTATTTCGCTTCAAATGATATAAACATTCATTAAACATTTATTTTTGGAGTTGGTTTAAATATTAAATTATTGATCCACGTCGAAAACCATTCCAAGGTCATGTAACAAGTTGAAAACTTGTTCCTGGCTTTCATTTAACAAGATGACAATAGATATTTTTAAACTGTGGCACCCTATTTTATAAGGATTAGCTCATGAAGCTAGACAAAAATAAATAAATAAATAAATTAAATTTCCTTCGCAGCTATAATCCAAGAAGTTTCATTATACGTAATTATTTTTGTTGTTTTGTCGGCCAATCCCAAGAGCCTCTTTTAGATTACATTCTATATGGTGTTTAACTTCATTGGCCAAATTCTTCTCCGCAGACTTTTAGCTATCAAAAGAAAGGGTGCAGAATTAATTTCAATTTAACCCACCGCGACGCGAATGAGTCCGAAATATTATTGTCGATAACTCCAAAACGGTAGATTTTATCAAAATTTCTTTATTATTTTCGAATTAAGCATGTACATTTACACCTAAATGGACTATACGGGAAAATTTTTATTAGCAACTGAGAGTAGGGCTTGAACTGCAAATTACCCTCGAGTTGAAACTAGTTCTGTCACACCAAAAGCCACTAAAAATAGAATTTCGGCTTTTCTTCCTTTGAATTAAGATTAAAGCGACATTGATTCTTTGGGGCAGAATCACTGTGATGTATATGTTCTCATTAAACAATAGGAAAGACGCTTGATCCCGGGTATTCCAACCCAGCAGCAGCACCTCCCTCATTGCACTAAAAGAGTAAGTATTGGTAGAATATCGACGCAAGTGGTGGCGAGGACTGAAGATTTTTTTCATGGTCCATATTCACCTGTATTGGCACCCTAAAACTAAAAACAACTTTATAACAAAAACCTACTCTAGCGGGCAGATGTGTAAATGCCTTCGGTTGATTCCTCTTGGGCCGTGTAACAATGTTACCGGGCAAAACGACCTTCAGTTCATAAAACATGTCATGAGGGTCTTAGCAAAAATTTTTCTGCTTTTATCATTGTGGATTGGCGCTACAGAAGCACAAACAAAGAAATGTGCTAAATAACAGAGACACTTGAGGACTTCCAAAAACAGCAACAACAATAATGGATAGCATACATAACTTGAAGAGAATCAAGATGTTGACGTTCCACACGACTTCAAACAGAAGGTTCGGAAGGAAACCCCCATCAATAATGGAAAGAGCAATAAGAGTTACTGAGTTTGAGAAACCTGTTTTCCCCAAAAAATATTTCAAGAGAAAGATTTTATAAATTTAAACAGAAAACAGTACTGAGTGGTCGACCAGTGAATGCCAAATGTTTCTTTATAGGGGAACGGCTAATATTACTATTACCATTATATATAATTGAATAATAAGTAGGAAAACACACACACACACACCTTTAGCATGTGATTCATCTTCCAAATTTTTATTTTATCGCGTCCTGCTGGAAAATAGTTCGGATTTTAAAGAACATTTCTTTCTTTTATAGTTAAATTTTAGTTTAAAAAAAGCACGTAGGATTTAATTAAAATGCTTTTTGGTAAGCTCGCAATAATTTTATTATTAGTCGAATGTCTTGGATGAAATATTGTAATTTGTTATTATCACAAGTCAAAACTTGATACTAATTTCAGTAATTTAAAAAAATAAAATAATAATAAAAAAATACGGCCGGTTTTCTTTTTGAGAAATTCTTGTTTTGATTTTTGCTCTGCCATGGAATTAATCCGCATATCAATATTTTTAAGCAAAAATCTTCAAAGTAACAATTAAAAAGGAAAAAACAAATACTTAACGATGCCGTCGATCTGAACAAATCATTATCGATTAGTTGAGACAAAAAGATAATGAAAAAGCGAACTTCCGAAATCCGACAGAAATTTCTCAGCGTGACAAGCGCCATAATTTTCATCCAGCCGACAACGCATGCGCACTATTCTTATTGTGCTTAATGACCTGTTATAAGGCGATATTGCATGCAGTTCTTATGAAAACTTGTCGTCTTTCCGCCTCACCCATTTGATGTCTTGACTGTTTTATATTGTCATTAAGTGTTGGACATATTTTCTTAAATTTTCCCCAAAGAAATGATTATTATTATTATAATCATAAATGAAAAATTAAATACATAAATATCTTTAATTATGGCCAAATATTGATTAAATTACTTCCTCCTGTAACTGCTCAAGAGACGAGGGAATTGCCACGGACGGAGATTTGTCATTTCTTAATTCAATAAATAATATTTTCTCTTTACATAGGTATGGCTTAACTGGTTAATTCGATAATGGTTTTTATCTCACCTTTGCCATTCGATTTAAAATTGGACTGATTAACGTCGTACTTTTATAAGACTTGACACTTTCCATGAAGAAACCCTGTTATTTTAAAGGACATAACACTGAATCATCAGGATAAACATAGAATTTAAAGATTTTGAATTCATGACACAAAGACACACAATCAC